ACTTCCGGCTTTTTTTCTTTTTGCTTATGTGGTGCTGAGGAATCAAACCCAGGGCCTCAGGCATGCAAGGCAAGCGCTCTACCACTGAGCCACCTTCCCAAGCCCCTTCAGTGTGGTCTTTAAGTGATGTTTACAGCAATGTCTGTGTTGCCCTGTGAGGTCAGAACTTAGCAGTAATCTTTGCCCTGTTTTTAAAATGTAAGTGGCATGACTACTATTCATAGCTGATCAAATCAATCAATCGTTTCAAATTGAAGTAGTTGTGCTGGTATACCCACCTAGTATTCTCACATGGCTCTTCCAGTGTGGAGTTTCACAGTTCTTTATTTGAACACTTCTTTGATATTCTTTGTATGATTTGGACATTTTCTTCCTGCAGGAAATTCAATCACATCTGTGAACAGACGAGGTTCAAGAACTGATCATCTGAACTGAGCATTGGGGAGACATGCAGACAGCTGTTGAGCCCTGGAGACAGTGATACCATGTGTAAAACACTTTTTAAGGGCATTTCTGTAGTTTCCCCTAAGTGGTACTGGGGTGTCTGGCCAAGGCACTATGATGTGACTTTTTCTTTTGTGGTTTTTACCCCAAGGTGAGACTCCTTGGCCAACTGAAAACTTCCTGTCAGCTCTCCCCTCCTGCAGGGACAATGACAGTGCAGATTTGTGCTTTTGTACCTTTCCCACAACTACAGTTGAACTGGGAATCTCTTTTCAGGAAAAGATTGATGGGAGAAAGGAGGAGGCTTATCAGAGCATACTGTTTAAGCAAAGGGAGCTTAAGTTTACAGCCTGTATGATGTACAGATTATTCTGCTGTTGGGATATCGCAACCTTTTATATATTTTTATTTTAATAGGTTTGGTGCTTCTAATAAGATTTAAATATCACAAACTAGCACAAATAATATAATTTATAATTTACAAATTGCAATTGGTGATAGTATAATATTTGAAAAAATGAACATGTTTTTATTAAAAAAAAATCATTTGTACAAAACTGCTAACCCTGGATGTGGATGTCAAGTTAGCAGCTTCTTGCTGAGTGTGTGAGTGGAGTTTTAGCTCCCTAGCACAGGGCTGGCCCTGCTTCTGGTGGAAAAGCCCCCTGGTTAGACCCCCACCCACAGAGCTCTTGATGGGGGTTGTGGAGGCTTGCCTGCCCCCTCCCCTCCCTTTCTTGCTACATTAGGTTTGCCATGTCATCCGGAATAATACTTGAAAATTTGATTTTTTTGTTAAAAATGAAAGGGGTTCTTTTTTATCTTTCCTTGAAATCACCTGTTACGTTTGTCAACTTTTTTGCTTCTTCTCAGGAATACAATTTTCAACTGTTGTCTTGCTCTTGATAGAAACTGAGAGGCAGCACCGTTATTTGTGGGAGAAAGTTCTCTTTTTTGATTCTAATAAACAAGCTGTGTTTGTTTTTCTCCTTTGTGTTGGGTTTGTGTGGGGAGCTGTAATGGAGTTAGGTTCTGTGGAAGTTTACTAGTTAATTACTACTTGTAATGTCTTTTATTGCCTTCTAGTCTCACAGCAACATGAGTCACATGGGGTCCCAAACCTGACTATTAGGGACTAACAGGGACCCAGGGTACTCTTCATTCCACTGAACTCTCTTTGTCTAATGTAGATAGGTTTGTTTTCTGTAGCCAGGAAGGGAGAGCTGCTGTGTTTGAGTCCTAAAAAGTGAGCATTTAGGGACTGGGAAGGTGGCTGAGTGGTAGAGTGCTTGCCTTACATGCATGAGGCCGTGGATTCGATTCCTCAGCACCACATAAGCAGAAAAAGCCCCATGACCTACAAACAAAAAGAAAAAAAAAAGTGAACATTCATCCTCCATCTCTAAAAGGCAAAAATGAATGTAAGAACCAGAGAATTCAGTAACTTTCAGTAATCTAGCGTTAGGTCTCAATATTTCTCTTTTCTTTTTTTT